CATTCATGTGTCACACTTACCTTGACTCTGTAGTTTGCATCTACGAGGAACTTGTTGCTAGTAATGTTCCCATGAACTTTACTTTTTTCCTCCGTCAGGTGAAGTCTGAAACAAAATCATTGCATTTTATTTATTTATTGAACCCGTCAATAAAATTTAAACAATTTCTGTTAGAATTAGTAAAATACAGAGATTATTTTTAGCCCTTCCACAAGCAAGCTGTACAAAACAAAAAGCAACTAATGGCACCTTGAACACTTTTAAGCTGCTAGTCTATTGGAGGTGGAACAGTTGTGCAGTCAGGAGCGAGCTGCTCCTCTGAAACTGGGCTTAGTGAGGAGAAGGCATGAAGAGCACGACGTCTTTTACAGCACATTCAGACAGACCGAATATCATTTTGAGCATTTTTAATGAAAGTTGAAACATTTTTTAGTGATTCTTTTTGTTATGAGACTATACAGGTGATGGACCAGGCTCATCAGTGGCTTTATCACATTATTTATCATATCTGTCAGAGCTGACCAGAACAGCTCCAGTAGAGTCTCTTTAGGGACTTTTCACTGAATCTTGTACGTTCTCTTGAAGTCACTCCTAAGAAAAAGGTCCAGCGCACTAATTAGAACACCAGTGTAAACAAAGGTGAGAGAAATTAAAATAATGGTATAAAATCCAATTTAAATAAATAAAATAAAAGGCGACTCGCTGCAAGCTTACCGATAAAGACCCTGCGCTGCATCCAGGCACATGCACGCCTTCCTGGTCCAGGTCAGCTCCCATTTCGAACTCAGAACATCTCGCAGACTTCCCTTCTCACAGTACTCCATGATGATGAGGTACTGAGGTTTAGGCGCTGCAGGCAGTCAGAAGACGGCATCACGTTTCTATTATTTTAAAAATGCCGTGTTCGTGTGAATCTCGTGCAACGGCCACTCACTGTTCTCATCCAGGAGGCAGATGCCAAACATTCGCAGGATGTTCGGAGACTCGAACCGTTTCATGGTGTCAACCTCCGTGTCAAAAACGGACTTCACCTCCCTGCATGTGAGCAAAGGGGTTTTTATGGACACAGTTCTGATCAGAGCACTGCATAAGCGTAAATGTCAGAATAATTTTGATTTTAAACGATTTATCGTGCAACGTCAGTGGTTTGTAATTATTTATGAATTCTCTCTGATACATACACGGTTAAAAATATCCATATATTCACTTTAATCTGTGAATAAGTGGTGACAAGTAGGATGCTTGTGAGCTGAGGCTTTTAGACCTAAGAACACTGTACCAACTGTCGAGCACGGTAGTGGTATCATCATGCAGTGGTACTGATGCTCTACACAAAGTGGATGAAATAATGAAGCAGGAGGACAACCTTTACATTGTTCAACTTAACCTCAAATCAGTAACTAGGTAATAAAAAGTTGGGAGTTCCCAACAGGACAATGATCCTGAACCCATCAGAACCGGGTTCTGATGATAAAAAAGGTTCACATTGAGCTTCTGGATCAAGGGAACAAAGCAGGGCTTAATCTGAGCTGGATTCTGCCAGAACAGGATCCAGGAACTCTTATTTTGACAAGGTGCATTCCGGTAGATCCGGTAACTCTCAGGTTTTCTAACAATAAAGTTATGAACAAACAACGGCGCCAATTTGTCAAAATAACAGCGATCGAGATGTTGAAAAAACTGTCCAATTTACTTTAATTTAAAAAAGTCTCCTGGTTATACTCTAACTCCTCTGATTTGGGCGGGAGAGGGTGAGTTGGATGCTTGAGAGAAGCGAAGCGTGCTCTATTCACACAGGGAGAGCTGTTGGTCAGGCTACTTCTTGTTGCTCTCTACAATAAGTTATTGAATCAACTGCTTACTTACTGTAAATATAGATGTTTAACAACCCGTTAAAATACACCAGAACGCAGGAAATGGGATCTACTTTATTTAAAGTTTTCTTGGGGCGGACACCCAGATGCTATTTGCGTTCCGGCGTCGTTTGGTTTACAAATTAAGCACTGGAACAAAACTATTTAAATGAACTCTACAGATTCAGCCAAGAAGGGAAATGAGACATTCAGCCAGAATCCTACCAGAAGCTCTTTGATGAATATTATGATTATTTCATTCAATAAACCAGTGAGTGACTTTATATTTGAGCCTGTATGTCGAATAAGTTTGACTCCGTGTGGAGTTTAAAAACTTTGCAAATATTTTTCTGTTGTTTTGTCAGTTTGGTGTTGAGACTGTACCCTGGGCTGGTGAGTGGGTCCAGGTATTTCTTGATGGCCACTGTGAATCCACCAAACTGTCCTTTGTAGACCTTTGAGCTTGGAGTTTCCATGATGAAAGACTCCTGGTTATACTCCAACTCCTCTGGTTTGATCAGCCGGATGTCCACGCTGATGATGCTGGGATTATTCACTGTGAAGACAGACGACAGTCATCTTTCTTTGAATTTCGTTTATTTAAAAAGACGGTGCTCGTTCGTCCAGATTTCTGCATCACGCGGCTGCAAACGTGTCTGGATCAGCTCAACAGCTAAATTTCATTTGTTGTTTTTAAGCAGGTCAAATAAATAAAATCATCAACGTCGGGGGCTCTATGGCGGCGGACGAGTAAGACGTGTTTAGCATGGGCTAAGTCCCGCCGTTTGCACCCCCAACTCCTGCACTTATGCAGGAAAATTATTTTATTTAGAGAGTTATTATTTTTAAATGCCAATAGTTTATTTTCTCAAGTGCATCCACAGCTGTGTGTTAATAAAAGACAGGTGGGACTTGTAGCTGTGACTCAGAAATATTTTGTTACTTTGTGCAAAGAAAAAATATCAAGAGATAAATATATTATTGGCATTTAGCTAAAAATATTGAAACCTTACTTCAGGTCCATATAAGCCAGCCCTGGTTCATGGATGCAGCCGTTGTGTTGCCATGCGGTCTGGATAAATTACTGCGTACTCACACATTTCCACGATTTTAGAAACGCTGCTTTTGATTTCTTCAAGGTCTCGTTGCATCGCCTCCACATACTCTGCGTACTCCAACAGCACTGGACAACAAACAGACACTTGACATGCAGTCACTGAAACGATGGGACAAAACGTGAAGTTTCCTCTCCTGCATTTAAGTTTCAGATCAAATGAAATGAACTGAAACCAAAACCTTTTGAATTTCTTTCCACCAACAAGATTTTCTGAAACGGTATCATTGAAGCAGCGCAGCTGAAAGGATGATACGTTTAGGCTAATTACTGCGATCACGTAATCAAATGTCCCTTGAACTCACTTCTCTTCATCTCAGCGTCATCCTCCTTCCTGTCCCGCTCGTCTTCTTCCAGCCTGGAGTTCTGCTCGAACAGCTGGAACGCTGCGTTTCCCTGTTCCAGCTGCAGAGCCAAGGCCAGGCTCTGGAAGGCGTCGTTCAGCCGGTCGTTCATGCTGCTGAACTCGTCTCCGTGACTGCCGTACTTCAGAATACGCTTCACCAGGTTTGCCGAGACGTATTTCTTGATGAGCTCGTGAGCCGATTTGAGAGTGATGGAGAGTCCTGTAAGGGCCGTCTCCACCTGATCAGAGGGTTGGACCACATCCCTCTGGGAGATGGGACTCACCAGGCCCTCCAAGGCTTTGACCCGCTCAGAAACACGCTGGCAGCGCTTCTTATTGGCCTTCACATCCTCAACGAGACAGTAAATGTCATAGGCGAGGGACAGGATGTCTTTGGCAATCTCCATAACTGGCTGAAAGGGAAGAAAGTGTATAAAGTTCATTATATAATTTACAGAGCCTTAAAAAGACCTCACACCCAAACCTTCCACATTTTATCACATTCTAACCTGAAACTTCAAGTACGAGATTTTATGTGACTGAATAACACAAAGAACTGCAGAAACATGAGGTGGAACACAAAACAGCGAAGTTCATCGTGGCTTTCAAGTTTTTATTACAAATAAAAATCTGGAGTTTGTGTGTTCTTTCTGTGCTGCGTGGGTTTTCTCCAGGTACTCCAGTTTCCTCCCACAGACCAAAAACATGCATGTTAGGCTGATGGTAACTCTAAATTGTCCCTAGGTGAGAAAGAGAGAGAGAGAGAATGGTTGTTTGTCTCGATGTGTCCCTGTGATGGACTGGAGACCTGTCAGGTGTCCCTGTGATGGA